ACTACAGGATGATATAGCTGCGGGCGTATGACTCTTCTTTCCAGAACACAAAATCCTTGCTCCCCGCGTCTCCCCAAACATTACCTCCACCATAATTTTTTCTCTCCTTTTTCTCTGCTTTTCGCTGCAAATCAGCGCATAGACAATTTGGATCGCAAATCCGGTCTCGCGCACATGTGATCTTGCATTATTTCCAAATCACTTATTGTGTGCTTGGTTGTGAAACGTAGTTTGCGGACCAGACAGAAGACCACAAATAGTCGTGCAGTGTGAAAAGAACAGTGACCTGACTACTTTGAAAATTGTGCAGTGTGAACTCAGCATTACTTGCTCACAGCAGCATGTCGTGACATATATGTATCGGCGGTAGCAAGTCCCATACTTGCTCTGCAGCAGCAGCGAAGCAGATCTATTCTGCCAAGATCAAACACATCAACATTGTCAATTCCATTAGCATGCCAAACACTCTAAGAGTTGTCATGAGAGAACTGTAATTAGTGCTACATCTGTTAATTGATTGGATGTCTGGTCCACCTTATGACAGTTACTGAAGAATTTAAAGCCATAATGTCAAACAAATTGATCACCATCACAGTATAGTTTTGTAACACTTCAAATGTAACACAAACTCCTATGTGTTTCATAGAGCGTCTCTGAACAGGTCTGGCACAAAATTGTTTTAAATTACTTCTGTCACCCTCAATTTCACAGTACTTTAAATGCCTTTGCTGTAGTACAATCATTACAATGCCAAAGACACACTAAATATATCTGAATATGTAATTTATTTGGCAAAATGTGAGATCGCTTCTTTAGGTCTTTTGCCCATGACTACTTTGGAGACACACACACGCTGACAGTGGCCCACAGTGGGGTAAAATTAGGAGCGGAAGCTCAGTGAAGTCCAAATTTAACGATAAGTGGCTTATCTTCATCATCATGATAATAATGATCTGCTCCAGCAGAAACCTGCGCTCTGTCTTTCTCTTCCATTTATGAGATGCGTCATTTGGCTAGGTCAAATTCATACAAGTGCCAGGAAGGGGAGAAAAAAAAAACAAATTAGGAAAATGAGAAAAGAGAAAATCAGAGCAAGAAACGTCATAAATTTGGGCCATTCTGTAGAAGGCAAATCCTGTAACTCAAATCAAGGGAGAGCTGAATCGTATATCGGTTACGGTTACCCAACGTAACCTTCTTAATCGTAACAAGTATTGTGTAAGTTTAGCTTACGCTACGGGAAAGATGAATCTTTTTGAGATATTGAAGCCAAAAAATTATTAATTATTAATTTTAGGAGAACTTGCCCTTTGTACTTCCAGAAGTTTTAAACACTGCATTGCTTACACAGATTTTACCAACTAGCTGCTGTTACTCGAATCTTCACCAGCAAAAGCGCTTCATAAAACTGTGGCCTGCTCCGTACACCCACCCCTGCTTTTCCCAGTGCAGAGCTGTATTTCAATATGAACACGAGAGAAAGCTCAGTGCTGCCTATCTTTGTTGAAACATGGAACTGCAGTCTTTTCTACTGTAGAAACTTGAGGCATCAGTTCCAGTCTTATTTTTACGGATTCACTATCTGCATTGCTGTAAACCTCATTCATGTACAAAGACACAGACACTGAGAGGAGAATTAAAGATCCGCAGGAATAAAGTGAATCAAAGAAATTCCCCCAAGGTCAATTATGACCCATAAAATTCAATTTAGTCGAACAGAATTATTATTGCGATTCACTGTATCGCATGTATACAGATTATTATCCTGCCTTCATTATTAGATATTACTCTCCCATTAACCATCAGCGGTTCAAACTGATTTTTGGTTTGTATTTGAACTGCTGAAAGAGAGAAAAAGAAAGAGAGAGGGTTACTTTGGACATGAAAATCCTCCAGAGAGAAAGTAATAAAGCAATCGATGATCTTATTTAACACAAGGTGAATATCTATATGACTGACAATGAGGCAAATTATTTTAAAGTTGTTATGTGTTTAAAATTATATAAAAAAAACATTCTAACTCAAATAAGATAAAAGATTATATATACTGTATATTAAATGATTCTTTTATCATTTCATTCATCAAAATCAGACATATTTTTGTTTTTTATATTCAAGTTAGATTTATAATTTCCACCTTTCATTTCCCTTATATTTTCTTTTTATAGGTTTTAGTATTTTGTATTTTATTCAGTATTTTCTGCTGCATGCTGCACAATACAGAGTAAATCTTTCATTTTGCATCACATATTCTTATATATTGGGTCTCCAGGATAATACATGTTTTCCTCAGCATGTTGGATGCTTAGTGAACTGAATTTCATTCATAAAAGCTTTACGAAAGAGACCTTAAAACTGTCTGTTCTGCGCCTGATAGTAAAATACACACAAAGGACTGCTTCTCAGACGCAGATTATGTCAAATCCAAGATTAAATTTCACTGTCAGTTATAGCAGTCCCCCCTTAGTCCTGGGCTTGGTTTAATCTGTTTCTGGAAAACTGGTCCAAAATGCAAGAAGTCTGAGCATCAATTTCAAAGAAGTCATCAGACACGTCTGGTTATTGCTAATATGTTTTGGTATACCTTTAAATAAGTTTTAAATGAGTTTTGAAGACAATAATAAAAATATTAAAACATATTAAATATACAAAATAAATCTAAAATATATTAAAAAAAATTACAGTATATCATAAAATGCATACAAAAAATACAAAGTAAATTTTAAACTTATGTAAATTAATTGTAAAAGTACTGAACAGTGTTAACATTCTCACAGATCAGAGTAAACATTTTGTACAAATAAAGATTTAGAAAACTGTCAGTCAAGAGTTTAGCTGTATAAATATGATTGAAATCACACATTAGGTATGCTGACCATCTGAATTGAAGTACTTTACCTGATAGAAAGAAAACTTAATAGTAACTCGTGAAAATAAATGACTCATTTTGTGCAGTTTTCATTCCTATCTTCTGCTCTTTTCACTAACATACTGAAATGTTTCCTTCACTGAATACCAACCAGTTTGTGACTGATAATTAGCTAATGAATTAATCAGTGACGCATTTGTGAAATTATGACTGAGCCTTTCTCATATGTTAATAATTCACTCACACGGTCCATGTTAAAATGTAATGCATGTTAGAAAGGATGTCAGTATGAATGTGACAAAGTTAGAAATCTGATCGTCGAATAAGCTTTTTATAACAGCATGCATGAAATAGTGCAAACCTCTAATGTAAAATTTTGAGAGTGCACAAGATGTCTCCATTTAATGAGGTTGATGGCTGTAATTGTGTCTGGATGGGTTTCTTGTTTTCATGTGTGCTCGTGAAAAGAAGGAGAAAGTGATCTGCTCTGTCATGAGACACTCGGTAATAAGCTCTGGTACGAGGAACAGATGGACATTATTTGAGAGACAGAACTGGAACTAAATGAGTGTAACGACAAGCCAAGTCCTTCAGCAGAGCATGAGTGACGTGGAACTAATGGAGGATGAGAAACGAAAGGACAGAGGTGGAATAGTGAGAACAGTGGAAGGGGTTAGTGTGCCGGAAAGACATAAATCATGGTTGCAAAGGAAAGTGAGAGTATTACAAAAGAAAGAGTGGCAACAGGAAAGAATGTGATGGAAAAAGAGAGAGAGGGGGGGAACAACAGAGATGGTGAAAGGAGAAGAATAATTTGCTGATGGATAGATTCTCAGAACATACATTATATTGTTGCCTGTTTCTCAGACAACACATATTTTCTCCAAGGACTCATTGTCCGCTTTTCCATCATGAAAGGCAAAAAACCCTGATGGAAAAAGAGGCTGATTTGACACAGTTAACATCCTTTTTTATGATGTTTTATTAACAAAGTTCAGGAGGAGCACGTTCAGTTAATTAACACGAGTGGAGTTCACTCAGCAATCAGTGATAAGAGGTATATACATTCAGCAATCTCACCTCACTTCGTTGATAGTTTAGCAGCACCCCTCCACTACCCCTTCCCCACACTTCCAGTCCTAAACATTTACATGGGGGGAGTACCAACTCCGAGCTTGTGGTCCCCTCGGACAGCATGCCAAATATGCATTAAATCTTATCCACTCTAATTATATGTAAGAGTGAACTCGTGAACTGTTAGCTGCCTAACTGCTGTAATGTATGGTACGTACAGTGAAAGACACTTTCAACTTTGTTTTTATTTTGAAAAAATAAAGTTTAATGATTATTTTTCCAACTATTGTTTATACAGTTTTCTAAAATAGATTTTTATAGTAGTGTTAGATTCAAAAATATGTGGTTAAATATGTGGTCAGAATTATTGACACCCCTGGTAAATATGATCAAAGATGGCTGTAAAAATCAATCTGCATATCCTTTTTATCTTTCATTCAAAAAATCCACAAAACTCTAACCTTTCATTGAAGTAAAATAATTGAGAGTGGGTGGAAAATCACATTATGAAATAAATGTTTTTTCTCTAAATTGTTGGCACCCCTAGAATTTTCTATGAGTAAAATATCTCTGAAGTATATTTTCATGAATATTTCAATTGTTTATCACACCAGGTTAACTAAACATGAAATTGTCTATTTGACTTGCTTCACAGGAGCTTCTTGTTTCACAGGAGTTTAAATATGAGGAAACTCGAAGGCCGAATTCCCTTAATCATCCATCACAATGAGCAAAACCAAAGAATATAGTTCTGATGTGCATCAAAATATTGTTGGGCTTCACAAAATAGAAAGTGGCTGTAATAAAATAGCTAAAGCATTGAAAAATCCCCCATTTCCACCATCAGGGCAAAAATTAAGAAGTTCCAATCAACTAAAGATGTTATGAATCTGCCAGGAAGAGGATGTATTGCCTTAATGCATGGTGAGGACAGTTTGAGTGGCCAAAGAATTGCAGAGATTAGTTGAGCCTTGTGGTCTTGTTTTGGGACCCCCCCCCCCCCCCCCCAATAATTCTGACCATGACTGTATATATAGCAGACATTTTTAAGTTGTAATAACATTTCACAATATTACTGTTTTTATTTTATGAGACTTCAATTTTAAAAAATTACAATTAAAATTCCAAGTGTATTAGTAGTGTATTATAAATGTCACAAAGCAATCAGCTTGAAGTACTTTTTAAACATTAAATTCTTAAATCATCCTGTACTCAGAAAGCATGGAGGAACAAATACATCAGCACCCGTTATTGTAATGAGTTCACCGAACCTGTTACAATATTGTTATACAATAACTTGACTAACTGATTTAATGTGCTGAACAAATACTTTGTTTAAATGAAGCTGACAACCCCATTATGGTCAATACCAAATCAATCACCTTTTTTTCTTTATATCAGGCAGCTTCAACAATATCATTATAACTCTCTTTCCAATAACAGCTGCTTCCAGTAATTCTTGAGCTGCTTCACTGTGTCATGGCCATCACAAAACTGCTTTAAATCGTCCCATAGAGTCTGATGCATATAAATATGAACCACAACTACTCCTTGAATCTGACTTATCACACTATCCAGATGAGCTGTTAATGCTTTCTTTGCTAAAGAAGTGTCTGTCCCGTACAAGTCGATATTAAAACGTAGAGACCCTCCGTTAAATGGAATAGGATAGGGAGGTGTGTGGAAGCTCATGAACAGAGGTTTCGCACCAGAACCATCTACAAACCATGTCAAGTTTCGCCTTGCCAAGACATGAAGGTTACTCTCCATGAGTTTCAAGGGCTGCCAGTCCTGGATAATAGCATTCCCTGGAAGCTGGAGTCTGGAAGCCAGGTCTGAATCCAAGAGAAGGGCCTTGAGAGCATCCAAGTCCTTTACTGGCACTAAAGGACGGCTGCTGTTGGACCCATCTGACGCAAGCAATTTTTCCTTCAGTCCTGAGACAAAGCTATCAAAACCCTCAGAATTCCCCAACAGAGAGAGAATAGCCTGTTTTAAAAGACAGAAAGAGAAAACAGTGATAAATGTTGCTCTGTTAAGGATCAAAATGTGATGAGAGAGATTCAAGGAGAAAGTAGACATCGAACAACAATATCAAAAATGACAGTATAAAAAGATTACTGACAAATTTGATTATCAGACAATAAATATTTAAGTCTAAGTTTACTTTTGCAACTGATTTAGAACATATAAAAAGGAAAGTATGATTGATAAGATTTTCTGCAACATGTTTTACACTTATTGTATTTTGGGTAACACTGCTGCTTTGAAACAATCTGTTTTGTATAAAGCTCTAATAAATACAGGTGACTTGATGTGAAAAATGTTTCACTTTTCAAATTGTATCAATTTAACTCACCCGTCTGGCCAGCAGTGTGAACTTGCTCAGTTTTTCAGGCCCTGGGTCATCTCCTCTGGTGAGGCGTTTGGTCTTCACATTGGGATAGACCTTCTTTATGTAGCCATCAACAAATGTCTGGATCACTCCAGCCAGACCACAGCCCCTTTCACTTGGACACACTCTTAACCCCTCTAGTATCACAGTTTCACCTTCATCAACCACCAGGCCTGACTCTAGCGCCACCTAAAGACACATAGTAATAATTATTTTAGGCTAAAAAAAAAGTAAAAACCTGTTTCTAGCTGAATATTTTATGAAGTCAATATAGAACACACCTGTAGTATTGATAGCATTTACCAGATAAAAATGCAGATCTTCATTATGCAGTAAAGTTGAACTGTTTGTTTAACTTAAGTTAGCCAAACAGAGTATGTTTAGTTGGCTGTTAATTGTTTTGAGAGCAGTAACATGAGTTTGGAGAAATGTGTCAAATCGATAGAGAAAAAGTGTACAAAAGCCAATCTGCAAAAGTGCTCCTCATAATGCATGCCACCAGCAGAGGTTCACTGGTGTTGTGCAATATCACAAAATGTGTAGTTGTGGCCTTATTTTACTGCCCTGGACTATATGAAGAGCGAAGCTGTCCTGTGGTATAAATGTCATATCCAGAGTAAAACTATATGGGTCATGAGTCAATCACCTTGTGCACAGCAGAGAACAAAGGCATTGATGTGGTTAAGTTCAGCTACAAGTTAAAATGTTGTCTTTCCTGAGAACTGCAAGCATTGAATTGATCAGTAGACACATCAGGGCATATTTTAACCATTAGCATTTTTTCTATCATAGCAGTTAGTGATTTAAAAAAAAGAACACAGATGTTAAATATTAACATGTCCTTCAGTGACATTCAGGTTTAGATTATGAAATAAATAAGCTTTGGGTAGCAGTTAATTTCTTTGACATCCTAGTTTTATAATACCACAGCTAATATTCTATACACTATAATACACACTGTATTATAGTGTATACAATAGCCTCTGATGAAAAAATAACCTACAATTTAACAATGGTAGGCTATTTAATATTTTCTGATGGCTTCTGGCTGAGGTTAAAGCTATGTAATATCAGAAGACACATGAGGTCTGTCAAACCTTTTTCCTCATGTATCGCTTACCAGCTTCCTATCTCTCCGTGCTATAATAACCACTCTTCCTGGCTCAGTCATCCAGGAGTGATAGCGATGTGGAAGGTAGTCATTGCCACCATATATGTCTTGTGATATGGCCATGACGTCATCGTAATCTTCTGGTCTGGCCAGACAGAAGATCAGTCCATCACTTGCACCCACACAGTGTGAATTCATCGTTACTTCTGCACAGGGATCAACCGTGGACTGTAAAACACAGTATTTTTGTGTGTCTAGCCTAGTCTCAGAAACAAATAAAAACAGATTAAAACAACTTTAGTCTAAAATACCTTATTTAAATTGATTGTAGCCTAATTATTAGATATGCAGTCTGCTTAGATTGCATATCTAATAGATATGTAGCAGACAAAGTGTATTGAGCAACTTATGATTAAAACAGCACCACTGCTAAGTGTACATAACATTAGGCCTATAATTAAGCAAAAACCTAATATCATTCTGGATTACTGTCTACTACTAAGAAGACTGGACTTGCTATGATCATGTGATTAAGCACTTATATTGTTAGAGCACTGAAAAAATGCAACTACACCCTGACCCTACTTTTAAAAAACATAGCATAAGCAGAGAGCATTACTGATCTAAGCGATAAACCAAAAGCCATGCAGCATATTTCTTCAATAATGTAGTGTTTGTGTGCTTCAATAATGTAGGCCTAGCTTCAATAATGTAGTGTTCAATAATCTCAGTCTGCAGGACTTACCGCGTGTAGTGGTGTGATTTTGACGATATGTTCCAGAAGACAGGACGAAGTTACTTCCACCACGGTCACCCCGGACAAACATGGACTTTACTCTTGCAGGCTTGTTAAACTTTTGTTGCCGGTTTCTCAGACAAGGCTTAAGCCCATACCAGACTAAAATAACGTTTGAGCTGTTTTAACTGAAAGCAACTTGCACTGACATATTGTTATTAAAATACAGTGGTGGAATGTAACGAAGTAGGTACAAATACTTCGTTACTTTACTTAAGTACATTTTTTACGTATCTTTACTTTACTTAAGTACAATAAATAGTGCCTACTTTTTACTTTTACTTCGTTACATTTTGCAGCAATTTTCTTCTCCACTACATTTCTACAACTTCTGTTACATTTTCGTTACATTTTCTGATCAGTTTTCCCCCTGCCAAAACGTAATCTGACCGTCCGTTCGTTGCACGTTTGTCTCACCAGTGACGTTTGGTTGCCATAGATACAGTATATCAACCCGGTCACACTAAATGCGTCTCGCACGCAGTGTGTTTATCATGCAACTCATACGCGAAAATTTGTTTTTACGTGCATAGGAAACACACCGTGTGTGTAATATATGTTTGGTTTGGTTAGGATTATGGCAAGCCAAGAGGTTCAGAATTACACCATAAATGAATTGCGTTTACTGCCAAACATAGTTATTAACATATAGTGAGGATAAGCATGATATTGCCTAATTGCAAGCTTGTTTCAGAAATGGTGACATTTTTTTCCATCATTATTGAACATCATTATAGGAGTAGGCTATTAGGTTGAATGAGTTAGAATTAAATGTTTTATTAATCATTAGAAAATAGACATTAAGATGATAAATTGTTATGCAAGTACTTTTACTTTTAATACTTAAAGTACATTTAAAATAAAGTACTTTTTACGTTTTACTTAAGTATGGTTGTCATTGTGTTACTTCTACTTTTACTAAAGTAAATATTTATCTGGGTATTTGTACTTTTACTTAAGTACTGAGATTCAGTACTTCCTCCACCACTGTTAAAATATGATGAATATTGGCTATACTGAAGAATATATCGATGTTGCCGCAAACAAGGGATGTTTTTCCACTAAGAAAAATATTTGATTGATACTGTGAAGCTGCTTTGATGCAATGCAATCTATATTGTGAAAAGCGTTTTTTAAATTGGCTTGACTTAAAATGTGTCAGTGCCATTTTTTGTCTCAAAATGCACATTGTTTTTTTCTAAGGCTGCCTACGTTTCTAAAAGCTACGGCCTAATAATTCTGGCTTAATAGGATTCTGTGAAACCAGGCATCTGTGTTTAAAAATGTCCAACATTTTTACACAGTCTGAACCTCTTTCTTTTGTTTTGTTGGCATCTTTTATTGTATGTCAATAATTATCCAACATTCAATACAGTGGACACAGATATCTTTTTGAGACGTTTAATTAGCCTCTTTAAAATAGGAGCCATTTCCATTTCAAAAACAGTATCGCAGCCCCACCCAGCGGGAACAAGATGACATTGCAGAGTTTATGCTCAGAGGATGTAATGTTATGGAAACTTACAACCACGGGCAGGAAGTATAAAACCAGCACATGATCTAGATAACGGAACTGCATAACAATTCCTTGTCCTTAGTTTGATCCTATGTTAGCCTACATATAGTCGGTCATTTATCATACTAGTTAGACTTGGCAATTATAGAAATAAAACAACAGATGTGTAGTGGGAGAGGAGATTCTTTATTTAATAAGGCATTTCAAAGTATTAAATAGTAAAATGATCCTTTGATATAAGTAAAATAATTTTTTTGCATCACTTAATGAACAATAAGATACTTAGGCATTATGAATGTTTTATAGGCTATATATAAAACTTGGACTTGTGGCAAAGAGTTGGGATTGATTGTAACGGTAAAAGTTTCATGACATTATTCAGTGATAAAAACATGCATGTTTCTTAATCTGAAAACAAAATATTTATATATTTAATAATTGTTATTTATGCAATACAATAGAATTAGCTTTATACTATTTTACTTTACACAAACATTAGGTTGCTCTGGAAAGAGTGTGATATGAACTGCTGAAATAATCATTCAGTTGAATCTGGCCTCAAGGGGCTGTCCTGTACATTTCTCTTTGGTAAGGGACTCTGTCCTAACAGGTGATAAACATGTCCTTGATCAGTCATTGTACCTTGTGTCCATGCTTTGGGTTGGCCTTGGTAGGACTTCCACAGCCGGCCATAGAAAATGTCTTTTTTGATCTTGGCATAAAGTTTTGAGGGGTCAAAGCCATTTGGAAAACTTTGAGAAGTTGGTGCATCATCTGATTCTTCTGCATGTGTCTAAAGTAAGAGATTTACATTTTAGGATGGTTTTATTATTGTTATTAAAATACGGTAAAACAATATGTACTGAAGAATAAGGTCGTGGGAATTGGTCATGCAGAGCAGCACTCAAGCTTTAACCGCAAACCATGCAGGTTCTTTAGAAAATAACAGGAAACTGAGACCTTTAATGTACTGTAATCACATACTATGATAAAGTGTGTTCAAGGTTGAAAAAATGGCACTTTTGCACTGCAAATTCCAGATTGGTCTGTGAGCATTTCAACTGTGTTGATATGGGGTTTTTTTTAATAGTCACATTTTGCATTTATAATTCTACTGAATGAGCCCCTTAATGTATGCATGTTTAGAATTTCTATTTAGAAGAATAGTAAATTATTAACCTCACTCATCTTCTTAACGACAGAAACTTTATCTCTAATTATTTATTCATTCATTGTATTCTTTATAGCTTTAAATTCTTACCTCAGACGGTGAGTCTGTCCGGTTGGTTCGTATTTCAAAAGACTTCATCCTGTAAGGTTAAATTTCCCATGAAATTACTCTCAGAGTTTTTGCTGTTTTGATCTTTAATGTATACTTTTATAAATATGAGTCTTTATTGTTTTTGTGTAAACATCTTTAAGATGTGATCTCTACCTTCTGCAGTTGTTATTTCTGCATGAGTAGAATAGGATGGTCAGGAAGAAAAGGGAAAGAATCGTTCCAATGATAATTGCACCCAAACGTCCTAATATTCCCAGCTTTGATTTCTGCTCCATGTAAGTAAAATCTATGACAAAAAATATCATAATAAAATAATAGTCTCAAATGTATGGCAGAGTATGTGTAGGACTACATGTGCAAGCATTACCTTTTGTCATTGACACGTTGATACTGACATCTTTCTTACTGATATCAGTACACTGTTCCAGTTTACCAGAAGGAAATGTTATGAACGCACAACAGATGTGCACAACACTCTCATTTGATGCTACTTTAATGATAAGGGATGATGATTTACGTGGAGATGTTTTTTTCTGTATCTTCACTGTAGTCTTATATTCACCATTTATGTAAGTTCCAAAAGTTGGATGATACGTGCCCAGTTTAGTGCGATTCGGGCCTTTAAGCATCTCCCAGTTGATTTGTGTCATATTCTCATCCCCTGAGAGGACACAGGTAATGTTCTGACCATCTCCTGCACGACTGTGACTGATGGAAACATCACTGTGTGATTTGCCTGTTAAAGAACACCAATGAAAAACATGCAGAGATTATAAGGATCACTGAGATACAACCCTAAAAATATTAAATACTGTAATGAATGCTTAGTAAAAACGCTAAACGCTTACATTTAGAAAATGTAAAGAGTTTAGTGTTGTTACTAAGGCTGTCACGATTATTAATTAATCGTATAATGAATCGCAATAACCTCAATAATTGCAGAGTTTAAATTTCAATTGCATTTTGCCTTCCAAATAAAGCAAATTTAAGCACTTGAAGAAATGCCATCAAATGTGGTAGAGAGAAGCTATTATAAAGTACATGAAGGTCTTCAAATGAAGGCTTTTGTGGTTAATCAGACTCCATTATATTATATTATAAATAATTACACAAGTACTTATATATTATTACATTTTACAATATTACAAGTAAATCATAAGGGCCTGTATTATTATATGAAGAGTTCAGATGCAAAAGCCTCTAAATGCCATTTGAAATTTTGTTCTAGAATGACCATTTTTATCAAGCTAGGGTATTTAAGTTCAGTAATTTATTGCCATTTAAGTGAAATTACTGAACTTAAATATACAAGCTTGATAAAAAATGATCATTTTAGAAGAAAATTTCAAATGGCACTTAGAGGCTTTTGCATCTGAACTCTTCATATATATATTCATTATATACAAATCCAATTTGTACAAATATACAAATTCAAGTTGTTACTGTTACTGATATATATATATATATATATATATATATACAGGCCTATGTTTCCAGTATATATATATATATATATATATATATATATATATATATACAGGCCTATATGTTTCCAGTAAATCTTTATTATTTTAAACTTAATTACTAATAAGAATTCATTGGCTTTTTCAAACATATGAAGCCACAATTGAGTTGTTTGTTTCATATATAGTCTCAGTAGTGGTTTATATAGGCCTACCGCAATATTTATACTTCCCTAAACAATGTTTTAGAGAGACAAGTTTATGACGCATGTTGAAACCACAGAACAAGCTGTGTTTAGAAACAAAAAATGTACTATTACATTTATTAATATTTTATAATAATAAAGAAAGAAAAAAACGCAAAATCTAATCAGGATAAATAAGTAAATAATGTAAATTCTAAAAAGTGAATTCTAAAAGTAAATCACAGAATGAAAAAGAAATATGCTTCAAAAGCAACACATTCATTGAAATATAATACAGCTGAAAGAGTAGCTGTCAGTGAAAATGCCGTGAAGGTGTTGACCTTTTGTGTCAGCATTAGTGTGTTATCAATATCTGAAAATATTTTGATACATGCTTAATTTACCATGTACAATCATATTTGTATATTTGACTTTAACCGGTCAAATTTATAAATAAATGTGGCATCCTCTACTCAGACTAATAACACAATATTCACTTACCTGATTCCAGGAAGGCAAGTATGAGAAGAGCACAAAGAAACTTGCTGCTCATGGTTGTCGCGCTAAACCAACACTGATTTTCTCTTCCACTTGTTTCCTACTTTGTCAGCGTGTTTGTTTTTTTAGCGTGTTGTTTTACTGACTTCACACTAAGACCTCTATATCTTCCCATCAACCATTTTGAATTTGCTTTGTTCTTTCTTCTATTTTTTCTCTCTCTCTCTCTTTTTTTTTTTTTTACCTTTTTTTGCCAACTCAGATCTTTGATGTCTCTAAGAAGGAAATGATGCTTAGTGAACGTGGGAGTTTCCACCAAGCATGTCTTACCCAGAAACAGCACTCAAATTAAATGTTTATGAAAAATGTACAAAAGTATAAAGCTAGTATATTATTTGAAATGTAAAAAATAATATACTAAAACTGTAAGTGTGTTCACTAAATAAAAAAATGCACAAGAAAATGGAAAAAAAAATCATCTACAGGAAATGGAATCATTTAATGGAAACTGCAAGGGATAGACAAAATAATGGAAACAAATCAAGTATCAAGTGCTTCAAGTGCTTCCATTCTCAGGGCAGCTTTAATACACATTGAAATAATGCCATACTTAAACTGTACATGATATTTCATAGAGGAAGTTAAAGAATTTTACTACAAGACAGTTGAGATGACCAGACACGCACACACATAAATGTCAAGCTAGGGCTGAGCTGACATTCTAGAGCAGTGTTTGCCAACCAGTTTTTATCTTATGCCCCCCCCCCCCCCCCCCATCTGAAAGACTGTAAGTACATCATAACCACCAAACCATGAAGATGTTCATTTTGACTTTTAATATAATTTAGTATTATCTTTAATATCATTAATTTATCTATTATTACTATGATTAACTTAAAAAAAGAAAAAAGAAAAACTTACTGATGTAAGGGATCATCTGTGTTTCATGTCTAGTTGGGTGGGTTTTGTTTAGTTTCCTGTGTTTCAGAGAGTTTGATTATCAGTACCTGTCGTTTGGTCTTGTATTTCAGTTTAAAGATCTTTCACTGCTTTGTCTGTTCTCGTTGCATTATACCGGTTGTTCTATTCCTGTTTTTTTCCCCCTAAATGTGTTTTTTTGCTCCAGCGATTAGATCCATTTTCTCATAAATACCTGCAACCACGGCCGTGACAACTAAGTGCGTTCATTTTGTTGTAAATAATTTAAAATATTTATTCAGTAATGCTAAAGCACTGTAAAATATTGTGTGTATCTGTAAAATATGACATGTTGGAGGTTGAGATTTATAGCCTTTTCTCACAGCATTTGATATAATTAAATTTATCAATTTAATGGCGGATCCAGAAAGGTTCAAACGACAATCACCAGTGACAACTGGAGATTCACCCGCTGTAAAATGCAAATAATAATTTGCCGGGGTCAGAATTTGGCACAACACCGGCATGGTGACTGACAGCCGCACACTCTCCTCAAACATTGTGTTTCTTTCGTGCTGTGTCGTGTCGAAATACAACTCACGTAAAGTTGATAATTCCATGAATAATTGCAATTGCAGATTTCGAACAGAGATGACGACAAAGAGGAAAAACTGCGGACTGCAGTTTTAACTGAAAGCAACTTGCACTGATATATCTTAAAATATGTCAGTGCTATTGTTTTGTATCAAGATGCACAAGATGGTTTTAAGGCACGTTTAAAAAATAAAATAAAATAAAAATACTTTGGGTCTAAACTAGGGCTGTCAAACGATTAATCGCGATTAATCGCATCCAAATTAAAAGTTTGTGTTTACATAATATATGTGGGTGCACTGTGTATAATTATTTTATATATATATAAATACACACGCTTGTATATATTAAATAAAAAAATATTATATAAAATATCTAGATTTATATATAATATAAATTATATATAAATACAGTATATATCATGAAAAAAATTCTTAAATATATACAAGCATGTGTGTGTATTTATATATATAAAATAATTATACAAGTGCACCCACATATATTATGTAAACACAAACATTTATTTTGGATGCGATTAATCACGATTAATCGTTTGACAGCCCTAGTCTAAACTAAATGTCCTAATTTAACTAAGGCTAAGTTCATAAGAAGTTTAGACCAAGCAAAATGTCCTGCAAGAAAAGTAGTTCTCTTATCAGGTCATTTTGTGAGTGTGTAGGTCACACTGTCCTCTTTCTACAAAACCATCTTCCCTCTCCTCCTATTAATGGCGTTGGTCCCAATTTACACTCTGTTCACACCATGTGCTCTGTTGCTCTCTCTCTCTCTGCATTTTCACACACACACATCTGCACACAAACCTATGCCCTGCTGACAAACAAATCCATTTGAGTTATTTATGAGCCATTAACATCTGCTCCCCTTAAAGACTATTCAGAGCTTTCAAAAAAAAAAAAAATATATATATATATATATATATATATATAAATATATATATATATATATTTAAAAACGTGATTGTCTATACCATGATTCTTCTTATTTTAGCTTAGTTTAGTTCAGCATTCACAGACACACAAACCCTGCCTCAGACTGCCCTGCTCTGATTAGAGTTGAGACTAAACCAGGAAAATATAGATTTCTAGAGGCCAGACTGAGCACACAGTTACGCAGACACATTCGCACTGATCTTAGCACTCTGATACTGTTGTCTTTTACAAAAATGATGTAATATGATTCATTGTGATTCATCTGATCAAGATTGTGTACCTTGTAGTGTATGAGCTTAAAATAACTTCTATTTAACTTTGTGGCTTTGTTCTTAAATTCTGTCTGCGTGATTATTTCCTTTTTTACACATGTGCGTCCTTTTTCTGTATCCTCTGCTTCTTCCTCTGACCCATTTTCTCTCCTACATCTTTCTCATTCTCTCTCTCCACCCCTCCCCCATTCCCATCTGTCAGATGGACAGGTGTACATACAGAGGTTTCAGCGTTCTGTGTGTGGCATGTGATCATGTGCTAACACTATTTATTGTGGATATGTTGCTGTAAATATAATTTATGCAACATGACACACACACATATACATATACATATAAAAAAACAAATAAATAAATTATATATATATACATACATGCATACATATGAATACGTTTTTAAAAATATGATATATGAATATAATATGTTTTATATATATATATATATATATATATATATATATATATATATATATATATACGGTGTGTGTGCAGGTATGTATATGTATATATGTGTGTTTGTGCGTGTGTTTATAAGCATTCACAGGGGACGTGTTGCATAATGCATCTAGAATGTAACACCGTATCACCCTGCTTTTCTATATTCTGTCTCTTGGAATACAATAGCATGTGTTTGGTTTGTGTACTGAGGAGAAAGATAAAGCCAGCTTGTGTGTCCGATCCAGTTTCCCCCCACCTCTTCTCCTTTAACCCTAGTCTTACTTTCAGTATCCCTACACTGTAAAAAGTGAACAGTTGGATCAACTTAAAAAAATTACTTCAATTGGTAACACCTAAAAAAATTAAGTTCTCTCAACTTAAATTATTACATTTTCTCAACTTAATTTTACTAGGTCAATCACACTTAAATTATTTGAGTTCATTCAATCCTATTATTTACATTAGTCTGACTTAATTTCACTGCATTCCAACTTAAATTTATTAATTTTTCCTACAGTTGGATCAACTTAAAAAAATTACTTCAATTGGTAACACCTAAAAAAAATAAGTTAACTCAACTTAATTTCAGGTCAATCACAGAAGACTCAAATTGCTGGAGAAATATTTATTAACATTAATTCATTTTATACACCATCGGTATTTTTCATATTACAAACTTTGAGATTTTTTTTTACAAACATTTGTTGTGCCAATGAAATTCCATTTACTGACACACTTGTTCCATTAACAGTCTTTTTGCAAAGTTGCCTTTGCACTGAATTATGCTCAAAACTGCATAAGCCAACATATTTATAAAAATAAATATAAAAACATAGTGGTTATGCCCTTAAAGGGTTAGTTCACCCAAAAATGAAAATTAAGTCATTAATTACTCACCCCCATGCTGTACCAACCCCTTCGTTCATCTTCGGAGCACAAATGAAGATATTTTTGATTAAATTTGAGAGCTGTATAACTACCACATAGACTGCCGGAACTGGCTCTTGATGGCCCAGAAAGTCAATGAAGAAAATGTTTAAATATTCCATGTGACTACAGTGGCTCAACTATAAGTTTATCAAGCGACGAGAATACTTTTTGTGCGAAAAAACAAACAAAAATAACGACTTTATTCTACTATTCCTTTTCTTCCTTGTTGGCCTGAAATGACACTTCAATACGATTTCCACGACGCATGCGCGTGAACTGAACTGAAGTAGTTGAAGGAGATCGCAATTCTCGCGCATGCGTCGTGGAAATCGTATTGATTGGTAGTTATACAGCTCTCAAATTTAATCAAAAATATCTTCATTTGTGTTCCGAAGACGAACGAAGGTCTTACAGGGTTGGTACAGCATGGGGGTGAGTAATTAATGACTTAATTTTCATTTTTGGGTGAACTAACCCTTTAAATGAGCCACCTAAAAACAATTAAAGGGATAGTTCACCCAAAAATGGTTCAAGTTGCTCCAAACCTGCATGAGTTAGTTTCTTCTGCTGGACACAAAAGAAGATGTTTTGAAGAATGTTGGTAACCAGACAGTTGACTTCTGAATTGTTTGACTGTTGACTTCCAAAGATACAGGAAGTCAATGGGTGCCTTCAATTGCCAGGTCACCAACATTCTTCAACAAATCTTCTTTTGTGTCCAGCAGAAGAAACTAACTCATGCAGGTTTGGAACAACTTGAACCATTTTTGGGTGAACTTTCCCTTTAATCTTTCAAATAGAACCATACTGTATGAGAAGAGCTTTACAGGTAATGCCCTAAATTTAAAGTGAATCAATCAGATTCAAACAAACAACTACACATTCATACTAGACGTATGAATGTACAAATGGATAGTCTACAAACATAAGAAAACAAATTAAACATCCAACATTCTTTCAAACACAGACTAGACATATGCACATTCAAACATTACTGCAAGTTCACTGTTGTCTACTGAAAAGACTTTGAACTTTTAGTGACATCTTTTGCTGTTCAAGCTGCAAGAGAACTTTCTGGAATACCTCGAAAGTAAAACGAAGCGGTTTTGGGTAAGCCAGATTGATGATGTATATCATCCCGAGAAGCAAGGCACAAGCTGATGTGAACGAAGGCAGTTCATTCAAAACTTTAACACCCTCGATGACGACACCTATGTCAGCCGGTGGTTCGTGATGTTCTCCCCCCTCCTTCCGAATAACATACACCGCCATGGTGAACTGCTCCAGCTCACCCTCCCAATCGTCTCGCTGCTTATCCTAAAGAAATGTACATAAAAAAATAAAAAAATAAATAAACATCTTGCAGTCATAACTACAAAACACAAATTTAAACTTTCTGAAAAATCTAAATAGAACATGCAGAATTTCAACTCACAAGGTACTCCTTGATAAGGTCTTGAGGATTTTCGTTAACACTTTAAAATAATGGTCCGTAGTTAACAAGTAGCTATGCAGGAAGTAATAAGTAGTACTGCATTAAAGGGTTAGTTCACCCAAAAATGAAAATTCTGTCAGTATTTACTCAACCTCATGTTGTTCCAACCCCGCAAGACCTTCGTTCATCTTCGGAACACAAATTAAGATATTTAAGATATTAAGATCACTCCTGCATACAGTCCATAGGCTTCTTGAGGGACTGGCTCTTGCTGTCCCTGAAAAGTCATTAAAGACATCGTTAAAATAGTCCAAGTGACTACAGGGGCTCAATCTAAGGTTTATCAAACGACGAGAACACTTTTGTGCTCAAAAAAACAACAAAAATAACGACTTTATTTCAACTATTCACTTCCTTCTCCATGAGCCTGTAGTCAGTTAACGTAGTGTGATTACGTAGAGCTTCGTCACACGTAGGCTCACTATTGGCTGACGCTGGTCATGTGTGTGTGATGCGTGTGACGTACAATGACAGAAACTTACGCTATTAAACTAGTAACCTGACTCGCGCAGAGGGAGAAATAAACGAATAGTTGAAATAAAGTCGTTATTTTTGTTGTTTTTTTGCGCACAAAAGTGTTCTCGTCGTTTGATAAACTTAAGATTGAGCCACTGTAGTCACTTGGACTATTTTAACGATGTCTTTTATGACTTTTCGAGGACAGCAAGAGCCAGTCCCTCAAGAAGCCTATGGACTGTATGCAGGAGCGATCTTAATATCTTAAATATCTTAATTTGTGTTCCGATGATGAACGAAGGTCTTACGGGGTTGGAACAACATGAGGGTGAGTAAATACTGACAGAATTTTCATTTTTGGGTGAACTAACCCTTTAACACCGAAGTTAATACTATTAACTAATATGGAAGCAATATTAACTAAGCAGTAAGTAATAGGTAATTTAGTACAAAGGTAGTTCCTTGGTAGGTATTTGATCGTTACTAAAGAAATATATCCTCATTGAGAACTACTTGCGAACTAAGAATTAATAATCAATTAATTACTAAATCACAAAAGTAACATGTCTAAAAAGTGAACAATTGTGGGGGTTTTATACTCTTAACATGGTCATAACATTTCAGAAGCATGTGCCTCAAATGGGTTCTTTGTGGAAACCAGTTTATGAAGTTTATACATCCCCCCAAATACATTAGCTAGGTTGAGATTGTGACCACTACTCTTGCCAGGATGGACGCATGTTCTCTGTTTATTTAAAACTTAAACATAAAATAATACTAATAAAGACAGTTTTTAAAAAATAAACCTTAAATAACTAGGATCTCATGATTGGATTAGTTCACTATTATAACTATGTTACAGTAGCTGCCTGAGGAGGACTTCTCTTTAGGACATGAATATAAACATTGATGTTCACTTGTCAAAAACAATTTGTATCTTTAATGAAGAAATTGGCTGCATTTATGTTACAATAAGCGCAAAACCACATCTTCCAGATTACAGCGTTTGTTAGAATATTAGTGCCTCACAGAACCTGTACAGTATGTGTCAAATATAAAATTAAATAACTTGTGTAAACATTGTGGGATGACAAGGTAACGCTTGTAGTTAGTTAGGAGTTAACATGTTTTTCACTTTAAAATAATGGGCCACATCACTAGTAGTTCCTGCGGGATGACAAGGTAACGCTTAAGTAGTTATTGATGAGTTAACAGGTTTTTCACAAATGATACAAGTTATTTAATTTTATATTTGACACATACTGTACAGGTTCTGTGAGGCACTAATATTCTAACAAACACTGTAATCTGGAAGATGTGGTTTTGCGCTTATCGTAACATAAATGCAGCCAATTTCTTCATTAAAGATGCAAACTGTTTTTGACAAGTGAACATCAATGTTTATATTCATGTCCTAAAGAGAAGTCCTCCTCAGACAGCTACTGTAACATAAAGTTATAGGTCTTTGGAGTCTGAGATATATGTGACTGACATTCAATAGAGCTCATAATAGTGAACTAATCCAATCATGAGAGTGTCAGCATCACTTCCTAATTATTTAAGGTTTATTTTTAAAAACTGTCTTTATTAGTATTATTTTATGTTTAAGTTTTAAATAAACAGAGAACATGCGTCCATCCTGGCAAGAGTAGTAGTTCTCAATGAGGATATATTTCTTTAGTAATAATCAAATACCTACCAAGGAACTACCTTTGTACTAAATTACCTATTACTTAATGCTTAGTTAATATTGCTTCCATATTAGTTAATAGTATTAAGTTCGGTGTTAATGCAGTGCTACCTATTACTTCCTGCATAGCTACTTGTTAACTACGGACCATTATTTTAAAGAGTTACCGGATTTTTCCCCAGGAAAACGATGAGGGCCTTCAGGACACTCTTCTTTCCGTGTGAATGTTTTCAGTCTGTGAAAAAGCATTTGTGATTATTTTTCTTATTTTTAAAATTCGGAGTAATCTGTAATGGAGAATCAGATTTCCCCAAGGATAGCAAAGGACAAGAAAATATAAACAAAACTTAATTTACAAAACTATAAAAGGTTGTATTAATGACTGGACAAAGTATATACATCACAGAAGTATAAAAAAAATCATTATTCAGATATAAACACTGATGTCTACGTTACCGTTCAAAACAGAATTTTTTTTTAGGTTTTTTTAGAATCTATAATAAGTCAAAAATTAAAGATGATTGAATGACTCATAAATGTAAGTACACATTGATGGCCTAAGAAACGAAACAAGCGGTTTGTGTGAGAAAACGAACAGTATTTATATCGTTTTTACCTCGTGTAACACAGCCATGTCAAACTGAACTGACGGCATGGGCGCTTCGGTCTGCGCACGCGCCGGAAGTGATCGCTTGCAAGTCAACGTCACTCATTGTTTACACAGAGATTTCAGAAGTTTTACCTTTCACTAAACATATTTAGATATATCGAAATAATCTTCCATTGCATTGCATGCTCTTTGAGGTGGTGACCATAGACCTGCATTATATGACTGATAGACAACGGTTTGACCGAAAAATATCAAAATTGAAAATACTGTGGAAACAAAGACATCTTGGATGCCCTGCCTTGAGGTAAGCTAAAACACACCAAAAATTAATTTCAAAGTGAACTATTCCCTTTAAATCAGCCAGTACTTGTGCACCTTTTACATGCACAATACATGTCACATCATAATCATTTTTAGCTTCAAAATTGGTTTACACTGTATAAACTAAAAAAAGTTATTTCTGAGAATCAAAAAAGGCACATGCATTCGGGATGTCATAAGGGTATTTGATGCCAATTTTAGTTCTTAATTCTTTTAGTTTTAGTTCAAAATTCTTAATTAGGATAAAATGCAAGTCAATAGCATTAGACAACGTTAGATGGAATTTACTCAAACATGTCCAACATTAGTAATTCATATTATCTATTATCAATAGAAGAAATTAGAAATTACTTAAATTAATAGAAAATACTTACCATGTAATGTTATAGCAAAGTGTCGTCCTCAATCGTCAAACTTGAAAAAGCTTTCAGTCATAAGGAGAGAAAAATGTTGTATCATTAGTATTTAACTTCAAGGTCAAGTAATTAATTAGTTCTGAAATACTACTATTTTCTACAAAAAAAAATCATAATTTTAAAGAAAACCCCGATTTGTTTTCCTGCATGAAACACCTCGAGCTAGGCAAATTAAGCTAGCGTTAAGCACAGGCCACAGATCAGGGAATCAGGTAACGTTAATGGGCTGACTCCCTGATCAGTGCCCTGGTTAACTTAATGAACTGATTGAGATGCACCCAATGGCGTTTATCACAGACTTTCAGCATCATTTTGGGCGAAAAAAGTCGATGAATAAGTCAGAGCTAACGTTTCAAAGACAAATAAAAGAACAGACAAAAAATAAAACTCAAATATTGTACTGCAGGAATTCAAATTCGAGCATTTTGTCCCGCTCCCCGAGCACTTCCCGCCCAAAGCATTTCCAATTTCTCACGCGGCACAGACGGTTATCCTTTTTTAAACTATTTAATAACTGTTACACAAGTCCCAAGATCCAAACTGAACACATTTTTATAAAACAAACGAGTTAAGTTAAAGATAACATCATGTTTAACGTTAACTTGCATAGAACTATTCAGTAATGCTAGTTTGCAAACGTACGTTTAAAAATGTGGTTAATTGCGATTTTGTTAGTATTCATGTTCACAAACAACATTCATTAACTCATAAACAACTAAAACAAACGTCCAAAAGTTGCATATTTGAGTATATTAATTAAAAAACAAAACTTCCAACCTACCTTATTCATCCGAGTGCGAAAAAGAAAATGGCGGTCGAGCAGAAAGTTCCAGACAGGCTTATGCGTCATGACGTCAGCAATAAAACGTCTGACGCGAGGGTCCTTAAAGGGAAATTACACTTTGGGTGAAAGCGAGATATCTGAGTGTCTGTGAATTTCTATGCGTTCAAGTTGAATGAGTGTACAATAATCAATTACGATTAGGAAAGCAGAAATACGAAGTAAATAGACTCAAATAGTTCTAGTAATCCAACTTACACCCATATTCACTTTTTACAGTGTATGGGGTTTAATACCCTCAACCCCCACCCCCACTTTAACACACAGGCTAACCTCACTGCATTTTATTACACTGCACTGTGCTTTCCCATCCCCCTCCGTAGCTCTGCATAGCAAGAAATAGAGTTTGGGTAAATTCCACTCTGACGCTGTCTAGGCCATTGCTATTATATAACTCACAAAGGACCTTGTCTCACTCACTCTCTCTCTCTCTCAGTTTTAAACCAGAATGGTTTAATGTTTTTAGTACATGCAATAGCCTACCATTTCATATCACATCTTATCATATTTTTTGCAACCACATCATCCCACCTCATTTAGTATTATGAAGGTCAAATATGATGATTTTAATTTGATTTGAACACCTTATTAATGTTTTGGAGCAAACTGCAACTAGGTCAGATATGAACTTTGAGGGCTTTTTTAACATTTGTTGGGGTATTTTTCAATTACCTCCTTAAATATATCTGTTTTTGTATGTCTATACTATATAGACTGTTACCAATCAAATATTTTTCAACATCAACAAAAAACATCTTCACTCTGCAAAGGTGGAACAGAAGCTGCATCTGACATGGCGTTTCATTACACAGGCTTTTAATGCTGCTCATCTGCACATATTTACACGCAAAAAAACTGTGTGTTTGGCAATAATGCTCAACGCTGCACACTGTGCATAAAAACTATCTGACGCAAAATGAGCAAATCCACTGTAAATGTAATGCCGAAATAGTTTCAATAGATCAGGCTTAATTGTGCAAGGGCATTTTGCCCCTTATGTTGAATTTGGGGGACATTTTGTTCATTTTGGTGTCATTTTTGCCCAAAGCGCCCATTCATTTTAAAACCTGAATTCCAACTATAAAAACTGAGTTTTCCAGCATTCAACTTTAATCCCAACTCTCACCATGATTTCTTAGGCTAACACACTTAAATTTGGAAACCAAGTCAAATATTTTCTATTCTCTTGTCATCATAAAATTAATCATGCGATTAAATAATAGTACTTATTGTTCATTTACTCTTAAATATACCACTCTTCCAAAAGCAACCAAGTAGGGTAAGCCAAAAAAAAAATTACCAGGAATTGATTGAGTTGTGATGTCAAACTCATGTCTAGACTCATTTTATTTAATCTTGCCTCCGATTTACTTCTCTGAATTGGAGTGCAATGAATTTCCGAAATGTTCCCTGTAATCCAAGAACAGGTGGCATGGGTTTAATTCTTCAAACCCATCTTTAGCAGCTGTCCACCACTCATGTTCTGTCCGCCACCATTTTTACCAACATTTGAGACACTCACATTTTCCTAACTGTTTATTAAGAAATGCTCATCCATAAAACACTATTGTAATCTAGCGCAGTGGTAAAATAGAGGTCAGTAATGTGAGGCTGCAGTGACAGCTGCTCCTTGTGTCAGCATAGTTCAGCAAAGAAGCTTGTCACGTTCTCCATTTGTCATTGCCTTATATATATGTGTGTGTGTGTGTATATATATATATATATATATATATATATACCCTTGCTCGACTATCGTAGCACTGCTTTTTTACTGCTATACCATTCCATAGCCCTCTTCGGTGAGGCTGCATGTTTGTTTCTTACCAAGCCAAAATGTTTCACATTACTGTGCAGTTCATGCGTTTTCTATAATATAATGGTGCATACGTTTTTATGGATAATAGTGGGCCTGAAGACACAGCACTAGATTTTGGGATGGTTAATATACTGTCACTGAGTCCATCAATAATAACAGCTCATCAAGATTTAAACACCCCATCCTTGTAGAAAGAAATGAAACGCTTAAGAAACAACACACATAATTAGTTGTCCTCATACCAAGCATCCTGGCTAAGAGTTAAAGTAATTAGTAGGCAGAGTTTTATTAAACCTGCAGTTGTAAGGGGTTTCTTCTTGGTGACTAAGGCCTAGCTTGGCAAGCATTGTGTATTGTCAGCTGCTTGTCCTGGTATTTCTCTGTAATGTGACTTGTGTACTGTGTTGAACTGTAGGTCACCTTGAAAGCATCTGCTGAGCTTCTGTTAATACACATTGTTATGCATATAAAAAAAAAAAACCTAAGGTAGGCTCCAATTTATTCAGATTAACTGCCATTTAACACTGCCATCAACGTTCACTTCCTCAACATTTTTGAATCATTCTATGCCTTGTTTGTTTAAGGGTTGTTTTAGGGATTTCTTTTTCCTTTTTTTCTCTCTTTTTTTTCTTTTTTGTTTTGTTTGTTTGTTTATTGCTAAATAGCACAATATACAGTTAGGTAAACACACACACACACACACACAAATATCTCTAACACTAAGTTTCGATTAACAATTTGGAAAATAAAACACTTATTCTAATACATCAATTCAAAACATCACTTATAGCGGATAACATCTAAACTATGCTATTTAGATACATTTTGTTCATTCTGAAACTGCATTGCAACTACAGCAAGTGGCTAAAACCTCACCAGTCCTTTTACAAATGCATTTGATCAACAATATTAGTCACAAGTCTTCATATAAAGCCATTTGTTATCTGCCATATTTTCACTCTTGCAAAGGAATTGCTGCATTACATCTGTTGCCATTAAAGATAGAGCTCATTACGGTTACGTTGTTACAATGGTAATGACAAACACTTTGACAACATAAGCACTAGTTAAAATGTTAAAAATGTTAAATGGTTATGCACAAGGTAAAGCAATACAAAAACACAACAAAAAGGGTGACATTAACCAAGAAAAGACTGCAGTGACACTGTTTGTTTTCAATCACTTATTGCAGTCATAAAAAACTGAGCTCCAAAAAGTCCAATATGTATGAAGGATCTCAATGGAAAAATATACAGAATTTCAACATTTGGGGTCTTATCAAAGACCGTATTGATCTTATGGTTTTGGGCTTTTTCTTTTTTAAATGGCAGAATATGGAAACATGACAGTCGTATTTTCACCTGGTTTTCTATTGCATTCAAAATGTGATCTTTGGGAAATTGTAAATAGAATTACTCATCACACTTGACAGCAGAGACATAGCTCGGACCTTAAGACGTTCTAGATTTTTACATAAATTTACATTTTGTTCAATGTTAGAGGTAAACAAAAACCTACGTGCAGTAAATTTGTCCTATACATTATAAACATACACATTTCATTGTCATTTAATGTAACAATATACGATAGAGCACATAGACTAGTTTCATGGCCATTGGCATATCCATTACTAGTAAGTAAGATAAGGTCCCTTCATACCATCTGCCTATAGTCACACTTTAATCTGCTTCTGGATCATCCATCCATTTACAAGTTACTACTCACATTCGCTGGTACATTTAGCATTCAGTAAAGGCAAATTTAAACTCTTGTTTTTAAAAGAATAGGGAATGTACGTTAAAATGAGTTAATGAAGTCAATTTTGCAGATAATTTCTTAAAACAAGTGTACCAGCCAGGATTCTTACTCGATTTAACATGGATCTAGACCTGTAAATCTGTCATCTAAAAAAAGAAAAGAAAGAAAAAACTACAAATAAAAACAACATAAAATAGCAATCCTAACAAAAAATATAGCAAATTACAGTTTATAGATAAACCACTGCCTACAGTTTACACATTATGACCTCTGCTAAAATGATTTTATGATTAAGAAGTGACAGTTTCTAGTTCGGGATACATTTTTAAATATATATTGCGTATTATGATATTCAAGCTGAGCTATTTGTTAAGTCTACAAAGAAATAGGCTAGGTATAAAGAGATGCACACAATTACAATAAAATATCGCTAGTGATCAGATTGTTAAATCCTTGTATACACAACGAAGTATAGGCTATCAATACTAAAATGTATATCATGGCTAAAAAAAAGGGGGGAAAAAAGAAAGATTTACCCTTACCATTTTTAAATACCCTGCCTAATCTTCCACCAATAATTTGTACGTTATCATCGATTTCAATTTGACAGTTTCTAAATGTCATTCTAGGGTATTTGTGCTCAGTGTAAATCTAGTTTCATGCTCGTTGTAAAGCCCTTCCCCACCCACTCACACAACATGCACATTTCAAAAACCTCTCATGGATTATAAGGTTTTTAAAAAATTACTGTATTTAAAATAGTTCTGCATCTCTCACAATCTCTGAAAAAAGAAACAGGTAACAAAATACTAAAATACTTTTCCATTAGTTGTCACATCACTGCTTGAGAATAAGCAGTCATATTGGGTGATCAAAAAAAAAAAATCTTTAAAAAAAAAAGAAAACAATTATCATATAATCAAAATGCCTTTATAGCATTGAAACTGTATTCACCCTCTTGATTGACAGTTGGCCATGAGTTCTTTTTTTCTTTTTCTTTTTAGAAATCTCTCAACCATAAGCATTAGTTTCCCATCATAGGTACTGTATGTTACAATTGCACAAACACACAAAACATGACACCCAGTTTGTATATAGGGCTAATGGGAAGACTTGCGTGAAAACAAACTCAACAGCCACTGCTGCATCAAGAGAATGTATGACATGGACATTCAAACCACCACCTTCTTGAGGTCTGTAGAAATCATGGTCCCTGCTAGTGGTAAATATGTCCATCAGCGGTTTCAGACAGGTACAGTGTGGTTTATTCAGACCATGGTCATTAAGTAGGAGCTTTATTACTTCTACGGATAGCCTATCAAGTGAGAAGCACACTCATAAAAATATCCTTGAATCTAAAAATGTTATGCAGATAGGCCTACGCTCCTATTCGATTACAAAAAATATATAGTGTTATCCACTGAATGACCATGACTGTTACAGCAAC